GTAGTTTACAGAACAATGAAATAGAACCAGCAGACAACTCATCCCATTTCTCACACAAACACTCCACCAAACGAGAATAACACATTGCGCGGGCAACATTTATTACAGTTGTACTACAACCATATGTACACACCAATAGCATAAAGGTATCCATCTCCTGTAAAAACACAAAAACACAACAATGAACAGTAATGAAAATCGATATGAAAATTCACATTGTGCAAAAAATAGATGACTACGTGTACAGTTCAAGTGCTAAATCCATAATTCACAATATGAAGATGTGAACATTCACATTACTATTAACAAGATGTCAACATTAAACAAACATCAAAGTCCAATGACAACAACAACAATCTTCACATAATATAATGATGTGAACATTCACATCAGTGTATGATGATGTAAACATTCACATCAGTGTATAATGATGTGAACATTCACATCAGTGTATGATGATGTAAACATTCACATCAGTGTATAATGATGTGAACATTCACATCAGTGTATGATGATGTAAACATTCACATCAGTGTATAATGATGTGAACATTCACATCAGTGTATGATGATGTAAACATTCACATCAGTGTATAATGATGTGAACATTCACATCAGTGTATGATGATGTAAACATTCACATCAGTGTATAATGATGTGAACATTCACATCAGTGTATGATGATGTAAACATTCACATCAGTGTATAATGATGTGAACATTCACATCAGTGTATGATGATGTAAACATTCACATCAGTGTATAATGATGTGAACATTCACATCAGTGTATGATGATGTAAACATTCACATCAGTGTATAATGATGTGAACATTCACATCAGTGTATGATGATGTAAACATTCACATCAGTGTATAATGATGTGAACATTCACATCAGTGTATGATGATGTAAACATTCACATCAGTGTATAATGATGTGAACATTCACATCAGTGTATGATGATGTAAACATTCACATCAGTGTATAATGATGTGAACATTCACATCAGTGTATGATGATGTAAACATTCACATCAGTGTATAATGATGTGAACATTCACATCAGTGTATGATGATGTAAACATTCACATCAAATTATATTAAATTAGAAAAATGGACTTTATGGAATATCCAGAAAAGTTCATGGGACTAATTAGGTTATAATATACTTTAGTGGACCTAATGGGTTATAACAACTCTAGAATGGATTTATCAATAAAAATCTCTAATTTAATTGTACATATAGTATTATATTCACATAATTTATTTTATTTACAATCTTCTTAATAAAGTGGTAAGACAAAATATATGTATAGAGTGTTTTGAAAAAATATTTAAATAGAGTGGTGCTACATTTTTAATACATCACCTTTATTTTCATTTCTAATGAGGTAGAAGATAGAGAGAAAAGAGAGATGAGGAGTGTGAGTCCTCGTTCACATGGTTCATTTCATATCATTAGAAATGAATTGAGGGTGATCAATTCGAGCTCCGAAATATTTTTCTATTTGAATGTAGATAAAGTTTTTAAATTATACTTCCCATGTTATTAGGTGATTGTAAAGAAAAAAAAAATTATATGAATGAATAATTTTATATAAGAAAAATATATACAATTTCATTCACCTTATTTTACCTATATTTTATAGGATCAATTATGTATCTAGACTTGCTAGTCTCTACTTTAATTCTCTCTATTATTTTTATTTCTGTACAAGCAAATTAGACTTACTTTTCCTAAATTTATTTTGCTCTATATTTTGCCTAGTTGTTAATTGTTATTTTTGCTAAGTAAATTACAATAATTTTTCTTAAAATTTGTGTTTAATATAGTTTATATATATATATATACTAGTGGATGACCCGTGCCTACGGCACTCTAAGTTTGAAAAAAAAAAAAATTCACATTCAAGTTAATACATTTTGACCAATAAAAAATAAAAGTTAAGACAAACTATTGAATAGTTATGATCTATTCAATTCATTAATAATTTTTCATATTCAAGGTTAAACTCCATGTCACAATATATATGAAACTTTCAGTATACACATATAGACAATTACAATCATTTTTAATTCCCTTGTCCTTTTACTTTGTAATTACAATATGAAATCAGGAGAGATTTACTTAATACATATAGTTCATGAATTAATTTGAAACCAAAACATAAATAATCATACATTCTATATGTATAGCCTCAAGTGTAGTCCCACTTTAAACTTGATTCAACATCTCTATATGCATTTTGGATCTGATTATTTCTTATTGCCAATAGCACACCACCATAAATGCTTGATACTTGAAAAAGATCAAAAGATCCATTTGCAAATCCAATTGATCTTTCAAAGGGAATTACAATCTCACAAACAAATATCTTTCAAATGGAACCATTTGATCTATTCATGTTAAATAAACTCATTCTATCCATTACATTATACGCATACATATGTGTATGCATTTATAGTATTTTAAGAAGGAATGACAGTAAAAAGAAAAGACTTTTTATGTTAGATACGTATTGTCTCCCAATTGTGATCCATGTCACCCACTTGTATATTTCATCACCTAATAACCTGTAATTCAAGTGATGAAAATGAACAATAGAAGGGGGAAAGGAAAAAAAAAATCAAAGAAAATTTTAAAGAGTGGAGAGTAGTATTTTAAGAAGAGCCATTTGAGGAAGTAGTGCTTACATACCGGCAAAAAGGAAAGACGAAGTGGGTGCAGTGGCTATTGGGCATGTCAACATCGTTGATTCCTCTGTATCAAACTGATAAACATCAACCCAACTTCGATTTCGGTGGCTGAGTACATGAGAGAGAGAGAGAGAACTTAGCCATTCAAAAAGCACCCAAATGGTTGTTACTCCATAATTTTTTCTGAAATCTTCTTGTTACTCCATAATGGCACATTAGAAACTACAAATTAAAAACTGAACATCCTATGTCATCGCCTAGATGTTAACAAAGAAAATTTTGGAAGAAGAAATGATAAAGTTCACAAATTACAATTTAACAATCAACTTAATGATAAAAACTTAAATTCCACAATTTAGGAAAGAGGGCAAAACTACCAGTTATGCCAAATCCACTTGGGAAAAAATAATAGTTCAAATATGATTCTGTGTTTATTTAAAATTCCAAAAAATGTAATTAGCATAACTACCCTTGTATAAAAAACGTGATCTAATCAAAACCCACAAATGAAACCAAATAAGTAGTAGAAAATGCTAGAAAAGTTATGATGAAATTCAGTCAATAGTGGCAAGTACTCCAAAACCAAATTTCAGTCATGACCATAACATCTCACACCTTCAATTCAACTTAAAAAAATAAAAAATTTATATTTTGAATTCCACACAAATTGAATTCAAAACCTAACCAGTATAAAAATTAAAAAGCAAATTGAGATTTAGTTGAGAGAGGGAGGAAGTGAATCAACAACTATTAACAACTCTATTGAAGCTCTATTCAAAATCACTTAATAACAAAGGTTACATGCAAAAACAAAATTAAATATCCCAAATGAGCAATACCCAACAAAACAGCCCCATCCACAAAACTTTTTAGTTTAAACTTCCCAATTTCATTTGATTATTCAAGTAAAAATGATAAAATTTATTTTATCCCATCGATGTTCAATCTCTTTCACTCTCTTGCCTGTTTAGTTTAAAAATTATATCTGGGGATTGAACGATTGAATAATACTTCTATGTGATTGGTGTTTATGTGATATTGAATTGTGTATTGTTTTTTTATTATCACTTCAAGTTGTTTACTTCTTTTGATTGTCAATTATGAAAAAGATCATTTATAGTCCACAAAACAAAAATATTTATTCTGCTCCCAGGTAGAATAATTGTGCTAATGATCTCATGTGTTACATTGTACGGTCTCATTCCTTCCATGCAATGTGTGTTTGCACAAATAGACTACTTGTATGGATGTGGAGGGAATAAAAAGTAGCCACCCATCCACAAGTCTGATTATGTAATGTAATTTCTTTCATTTTTATATACTTTCTCAATATCTATCTCATAATCCAAACATGTTGGCTCATTTGCTTCAATCCATGCTCAATTCTAATGAGTGGTGGTGGTTGTTGCATGGTGCTACTTGGATGATTCTTGGGATTTGATGTTGAGAGGGTTGTGGTTTTCTATTTCATTAACTTTTTTGGAAGTAAAGTAAGGTATTTTATGTCAGGAGTATTGAAATATATATTCTCAATCATTCGTGAACATGGAAAGGGATGGGAACATCTTTGTTCCATGACTAGAAGAGGAGTTCTCAATAGCTTTTGATGGATCCCTTACTTTAGAAGCAAAGCTTCCACTAAGAAATGATGTGCATTAATCTACTCTCTCCAATTAATAGCATGGATTTGGATATTAACTTGCCCTTATTGACAAAGAGATGACGTAAGTTCCCATCTATTTCTTAGGTTTGAATTTGTTCTTACTTTAATTTAATTTAATTTGATAAATTATTATAAACATCATGTCATATATAGCTCCTTGAGTTGTTAAATAAGGGTAAAGGTCTATCTACCTTTTCTTTTCTTTTTTTTCTTTTTTTTTTTTTTTTTTAGTTTTTTAAAAAAAAAAAAAATTCACATTCAAGTTAATACATTTTGACCAATAAAAAATAAAAGTTAAGACAAACTAATATAGCGCTTCCATACTGGTAAAAATTCACTACATTGTAGACAAACTCCGTGTCACAGTGTATATGAAACTTTCAGTATACACATATAGACAATTACAATCATTTTTAATTCCCTTGTCCTTTTACTTTGTAATTACAATATGAAATCAGGAGAGATTTACCTAATACATATAGTTCATGAATTAATTTGAAACCAAAACATAAATAATCATGCATTCTATATGTATAAGCTCAAGTGTAGTCCCACTTTAAACTTGATTCAACATCTCTATATGCATTTTAGATCTGATTATTTCTTATTGCCAATAGCACACCACCATAAATGCTTGATACTTGAAAAAGATCAAAAGATCCATTTGCAAATCCAATTGATCTTTCAAAGGGAATTACAATCTCATAAACAAATATCTTTCAAATGGAACCATTTGATCTATTCATTTTAAATAAATTCATTCTATCCATTACAATATACGCATACATATGTGTATGCATTTATAGTATTTAAAGAAGGAATGACAGTAAAAAGAAAAAGCTTTTTACGTTAGATACGCGTTGTCTCCCAGTTGTGCAATCCATGTCACCCACTTCTATATTCCATCACCTAACAGCCTGTAATTCAAGTGATGAAAATGAACAATAGAAGGGGGGAATGGAAAAAAAAAATCAGAGAAAATTTTAAAGAGTGGAGAGTAGTATTTTAAGAAGAGCTATTTGAGGAAGTAGTGCTTACATACCGGCAAAGAGGAAAGACGAAGTGGGTGCAGTGGCTATTGGGCATGTCAACATCGTTAATTCCTCTGTATCAAACTGATAAACATCAACCCAACTTCAATTTCGGTGGCTGAGTACATAAGAGAGAGAGAGTGAGAGAGAGAGAACTTAGCCATTCAAAAAGCACCCAAATGGTTGTTACTCAATAATTTTTCTGAAATCTTCTTGTTACTTCATAATGGCGCATTAGGAACTACAAATTAAAAACTGAACTGATATTTGAACTGAACATCCTGTGTCATCGCCTAGATGTTAACAAAGAAAATTTTGGAAGAAGAAATGATAAAGTTCACAAATTACAATTTAACAATCAACTTAATGATAAAAACTTAAATTCCACAATTTAGGAAAGAGGGCAAAACTACCAGTTATGCCAAATCCACTTGGGAAAAAATAATAGTTCAAATATGATTCTGTGTTTAAGTAAAAAAAAAAAAAGATGTAATTAGCATAATCACGCTTGTATAATCCAAAACCCACAAATGAAACCAATTAAGTAGTAGAAAATGCTAGAAAAGTTATGATGAATTTCAGTCAAAGGTGGCAAGTACTCCAAAACCAAATTTCAGTCATGACCACAACATCTCACACCTTCAATTCAACTTAAAAAAATAAAAAATTTATATTTTGAATTCCACACAAATTGAATCCAAAACCAAACCAGTATAAAAATTAAAAATTAAGAAGCAAATTGAGATTTAGTTGAGAGA